TAGAATAGAATAGAATAGAATAGAATAGAATAGAATAGAATAGAATATCTTCCTGATTGGGTCACTATAGTATGGTCTCCATGAAGACCATGGAGAAATTGCAACTGGTCCAGAAGGCCACAGGGATTGGACTTCTGCTTGTCCAGGGATTGGACTTCTGCTTGTCCCACAGTTTGACCATCTTATACTATGGTAGCATGAACTGCACTGGATTCCAGATGCTTTTATGGTGCAGCTGAAAATGCTGGTTATCCTCTTTAAAGGCCAGCAGGGCACATTGGCACAAGGCCAAGTTACTTGCAGGACTGCCTCTCCCCAGGTGTGTCTACCTGTCTCACTAGATCAGATAGGGTGAGTATGCTCCAGGTCCTTTCCCTTAAATTATTTCATCTGATGAGACCTGAGAGGTGTTCTTTCTCTGTAGCTGCCCTAGCCCTTTGGAACAGCCTCTCATCTGATATTCAAGGGTCCTCTACTCGTTTGGCCTTTCAACAGGCAATGAAGACTTAGCTTTTCTTCCAAGTACCGTGCTAGAATATGATTCAGTTGCGGTTAACAGTATGGTTACTCTGGCACCTTGTGGGGAAGGTTTTTATCTTGTTTTTATTAGTTGTTATGAGCTGGTTAGGATCATTCTGTGAGATAGCAGCCATATAAATTTTTTTCTTTAACGAATAAATAAACTTTTCTACTGCTCTTTATTGAAGCCCAAGGCCAGTTACAGATCCAATCGAGTTTCAATCCATATTAAAAAAAATGAGAATTGATACTTTCTAGGAATTTCTTCAAAGCCAGCATCCTCTCAAGCATTTGCTTCAAAAGTGAATATTGGTAGCTCGCTGCTAATTCATATACATATTTGGCAGGTATGTTTACCTAACACTTTCCTTTGTCTCTAAACAATCATTATCATCATCATTTTAGCCAGGATGAAGGCCTCTTCCGCATATTTCCAACCTGAGCTTCCTTTTGCCAATTGGGCCCACAATACTTGCTGATGTCATTGATCCATCTTGTTTTAGGTCTCTTTCATGGACACTTTTTATGAAATGGGATCCTTTCTAGGACTGCCTTGGTCCACCTGCCATCAGTTCTTCTTGCTATGTGACCAGCCCATTTCCATTTCAATTCTTTTAATCTCTTGATGATATCATATACTTTTGTTTGTTCTCTGATCCATGTGCAGGTCTATCTATCTTGTCTTGTAATCCCAAGCATGTATCTTTTCATGGCTCTTTGCGCCACTCATAGCTTTTGTATCAATTGTGAGGTTAGTGTCCATGTTTCCCCAGAACATGTTAGAGCAGGTAGCACACACTGACCGAAAACTTTTCAGGCATAGGAGAAAGTTGTTCTGGAAAATTATGCTTAGCTTGCCAAATGCTTGCCAACCACATTTTACATGCTGTTCAATTTCCTTTCATTGAGATCCATTGACCAAGGTATATATAGTGGTCTACTACATCTAGTTTTTTTCCAGACATAATTTTTTTTCTTTGTTTGGTGAATTTATTAAAATAACCGGTTTCTTTTTCAGGTTTCTTTTTAAGCCAAATGGTTCTCTTCCTTTGTGCAGCTCTTGTATGTGTCTTTGTAGCTCTTCTGGCTCTTGTGAGAAGAGAACAACATCATCTGCAAATCTTAAGTGATTTAAATAGGCGCCATTGATTTTTATTCTAACTGTTACCCAGTCTAGTTTGTGAAATACTTCTTCAAGGCAGGCTGAGAAAAAGACAGATGATGTTGTATCGCCTTGCCTTACACCTCGTTCTATGTTGATTTCCACTTTAAATATTGTTCTAAAATAACAATAACCTTTTTTGTAATTGTGTTATTTTACAATCACATTTTTATAATCGTGTTCTAAAAACTAGAAAGGGTTGTTTCTTGATATCTGGAAGAAGTCAAACATATTCCCCTAACCTGAAATAGTCCTCTTTCATTTGCCCAAAAGATTTGATCTCTTCTTTCTTTGAAAGATATTAGTTTTATTATTTTCTTCAGGGATTTTATTAATATCACTGTTTTCTTCAGAGGTGTTTAAAATGCTGGGCAATGGTGGTGATGTTTTTCTTTCAGTTTTGTTCATTTTAGATGCTCTGCTGTATTGTTTTAATAGTACCAGTGTGACTTTCTTTCTAGTTACCTTATAAATTCAAATTAAATGGAGGAATATAAATATTTTAAATAAACTTAAAGAGTTCATCTGAAAGCTGCAAGCAGGAATATATGCACATAATCATCAGGGCACACTGAGAAATCAACCTGTGCAATGAAAAATCGTGTGTGGCACATGCAGAGAGCAAATACATGGCCAAAGATTTCCTTCAAAGCTAATAGTTTCAGCTGACTTTGCTTCATTGTGCTATAATGACTCTACATGACATAAATATATGTGCTTATTTCAATTAATACTGGCAGCACAACTAAAGAAACTTGTGCATGGGAATGACTGTGAAGACCAGGATGAGAACTCACAAGAGAGAAGCAGGAATATTTGATTCGCCATTTCATTGTGGTTTCTACCACTGATCCTCTCAGGTGTAAGGCTCCAGGGAGGGGTGATCGCAGGATTACTAATGAAGTCACATAAAGGTGGTTCATCCTGATCAGTCACCAAAAGCCCATGGAAATGCTGGTAGATTCATTTGTTCATATGCTTCTATGGCTTGTTGCCTTCAAATTTATGCCACGCAAACAGATGCTGCGCTATGTGCAGTTCCCTTTGATAGATATTTTTGAAGTTGATGTTTTAAAGATGGATATGGCGGTTCTTCTGATTATTAATAGGAACCAAGGACTCTGTTGAGCTGCAGTAAATATTTATCTCCAAAAGTAGAGCTTGGTTCATTGAAAAATGTAGCTTTGACAAAGCACATTGTTCCTTATGAAATGTTCCTCTCTGTCTCAGAGAAATGAAAAAATACCCCATGCATTTGTGTACTAAGAACCGCACAGTAACTACATTGCTCATTAGAGAGGGCAATAAAATAATCTGAAAGAGCAAAGGAGGAGTGTTCAAACATCTAGTCTGTAAGTGAGTAGAGCCTGGCACAGCTGGGGAGAAGAGAATTTATTTATGGAATTTTAATGAGAGGCTGTCGTATATTTGTGGGACTCTGTTTGCAATTTTTCAGCAGGAGAATTGTGGAAATAAAAAATCACATCATTTAGTTTATTTCTCCATTATAGTGTTATAAATTTAATAAGACTGAAAATTAAGCCACCAAGAACCATCCTGTAATATAAATACCTTGTCCATGATCTTTTCAGTAAGAATGGAGGAAGTTTCAGGGAGGGGAGGGAGGGAGGTGGAGAAAGAGAGAAAAAATAAAGATATAGAGAATTTAGAGGAATGGCATGAATCCATGCTTAAGAATGAAGCTGGGACAATCACTTTCCTACTGAAGCAGTCCATCCTGATGAGATTAAATATTTATTGACTTTAGCTTCCTCTTTTGCTGGTATTAGTGATTTTTTTTTTTCATAAATCCTCTAAATAATATGATAAGGTTGGGGAAAAGATAATGCAATATTGTCAGCATTGCTTTATACCAGTCAACTATTGGTGTGATTTTGCATTAAACATTTGGACTGGAAATTTCTGGAATGGTTGAAAAGAGAATATTTTTGTAGAGACCTTTAGGGCAGATCAAGCATTATTATCCAATATTTAATTTTAGGTCAACCAGCAGGAAAGTATGTTACATCTTCTAAAAGGACCTGTTATGCAATTTTCGGAGTCTTTAAATCTATTTGACCTAATTTCAGGAGTCTCCGTTGATAAATATTTGGTAATACTTATAGTCGTATGATAATATATTTGTCATATGATAATATATGTGTGTTAGATGTAACCAGCGGAGACAATGTTATGGGCTATCCCCACCAAGGAGAAGTAAGTATGTATGTTTCTTGAATGTCTCTTAATTGAGATCCTCATCCCCACACATTGACCAAAAGCCTGGGTCTGTCACCTATTGCGCTGTCTGAAGATGATACAGATGTTTTATCACGGCTCTTCAAGGAATTGGAAAAAGCTTTAAGAAACACATTAGATAACTCGTGACCCATTGTATAATCCTTACCAAGCACCCATGTGCCCAGAGGCCTGTGTTGCGCCGCCATGCAATCTCCCCGCCCCCTGGTACCACTTGCGCACTTCCACGCCCCTCCACACCCTCCCAGATGGAGAGGGCATGTAGGAGCACAGGACTGGTGGGAAAGGGACCCAGAGATGCATATCTTAGATATTGCCTTGAGATACTAAAAACCACATAGGTGGCAAATGGGAATTTAATTGAACAAGTAAATGTTTGATAGTACCTTTAAAGCTTGGAAAGCTCAGGTCAAATAGGCTGCTGAAAACTCTCAAAAGTTTAGTTCCAATTAGATTTGGGTTTGTTTTTTTTTAGCTGAAAAGTTATTTTAGATCCAGAGGCCCTAAAGATCTTTGAAGGGGCGGGGGAATAATTCAGTTGTTGAATGGGACACAAATTCTCTACGTACTCATGGAAAATTTACAGTCCTGGAACTAGTCCAGTCTAAATTTTGTGATCTGTTTTATGTGTATTTGGTAGGAGGCATTGTACTTAGGATTGGAGTTTATAGCAGATGAGCCTCATTTGGATATGCATTTTTAACCAACATCTAATGTTATATTTATTTCAACCAGCGCACTCTGTGTCGATCTTATAATAAAACCATCACTTCTCTTATCTGTTCTTCTCCTGATACCAATAATATCTTAGACTTAGAGAAACTGCGTATTATATTTTGTCTTCATCTCAAGTTGATTACAGATAATTAAAACTTTATTTAATAGTAATATTTTATAAACAGATAGTATACAATAGAATATGAGCAATTATTTATCTTTAAAGAAGTTTATCAGGAATGCTCTTCCATCGTGCTTTATTGCAGACTGAAACAGTGAATCAAGGACAGCAAAGAGATGTAGAAAATTCTAATGCCTTTGATGTCATATGATGGCCATCCAGATGTGTGCAGTCCAAATGCAGTAGCCCTAGCTCTTTTTTCTCAGTGTCCTTCGCTTCCTGGCTGCTTTTCTTCCAAGAAATTAGCCTATTAGCCCTCTATTTAATTCTAAACATGGTAGCAAATACCTTCTCCTCGCAAGATTCATCCCAAAATAACTGTTGTCAGTTTCTAACTTCTCTAACGTTATAATGCTGAGGTGTGACAAAGAGGTTTCCATTGCGTTCAGTTTCATGCCCTGACCTTCACACCTTTGTTTTAGGAAAATATTTAAAAGTTGCTTATTTTTAAGGAAATTGCCCTTGAGAGAAAGGAAAGGTGGAAATGGTAAGACTTCACCGTCTCCTCTTTTATAGGGGCTTCCTATATCACCTGGGATTGCCATTTCAATCTTAGTGTATTCAACATACAATTGCGCATGTTGAATCTTTCATCTGATCAACATAGGAGCATTTCTAAGCAGAATGACAAGCACTGTGCTTGCTCTGTATGCCATTGAAGTGGAAGTGGGCTGAGTCTTTATAAACTTAAAAGGATGCACTTGGGATGCTTTAATTTGTAATTCTATTCCCCACCTCCTTTCAATTTCTCATGTGTATTATATGAATAAATGCCATCAACTGACAACTGCCCACTATAAACTTATTATGCTGCACGTCTTTTTCCACAAAGATTTGTTGTTAATATATTGATTTTAAAAAAAAGTTGCTTCAAGACCAGGTACTACATTATGCACTTAAAAAAAATATTAACCATACTCTTTTTTTTTTTCCCAGAAGAAAATTGAAAAAAACAAACAAACCCTGGAACAAAAGAAAAGTATGGTTAATACAAGCAGAAAAATATATATTTCTGAATCGAAAACCAGCAGATTCAATTATTCTTTTGCCTGTTTTATGATTATAATATTTTTATTATTTGTGTTTTGAAATACCCATTTGTCACATTCATATTTTCTCTCTCCATATCTAAAAATTGTAGAATATCGGTTTGCATACCTTAAAAAATACAGAGACTCCAAGCACGATACTTTTCACCGGGCAGAATGGATGCTAAAACGTCTTCTGCCAACGTGTCTTGGGAATAATGTAAATGTACTGTTTTCAAAAGCAGCATTGCGGCACAGCAAATAACCAGCGGATATTCCTAACTCATTTTTGAATTGTATCTTTAATGATTTCTCTTGACAATTCTCCTTGCAGGGGGCTGCTCTATGCAGTTACAGCCGGCTACAACCAGGCATTGCAACCCAGCCTGCAAAAAACCCTTCTCATACTGTACACAGGTAATTCAGGTGGTGCCCTTTACTTCGTTGGAAAGAACCAATTATTTTTAGAGTGTAAAACAAAACAAAATCAAAAAGCTCCCAACTGACCAGAGACCTAATCGGGCATGCACAGGACACTATCCATTCAGTAAGTTGAATATACAGCCTTACTGATGAGAGGGGATATGTGAAGAAAACATATAATATGTGGGTAACTGCAAGAAAATACTTGCTTTTTTTTCACAGAAATTCAGTTTGGAACATGAAAGGCAGGTTTTAAATATAGAAATATAGAAGCTGTGAATGAAAAGAACATATAAATGTTCACCTCCAGTGACATCAGGAACTCAATCCCTTCCCATGTGAAGCATAATTCTTTGTGTTCTTAGAATCCTTTGGGATTTCTTTGGAACACTGAAGTGAAACAACAGATCTCCTGCAATGTTTTTTTTTATTGATCTGCATCCCATCTTTATTATATTATAAGTATCTCAAGGCAGCCAACATACCTAACATTCCTTCCCCCTCCTATTTTCCCCACAACAACAACCCTGTGAGTGAGTTGGGCTGAAAAAGAGCAACTGGCCCAAAGTCATCTAGGCAGCTTTCATTTCTAAGGTGGGACTAGAACTCACAGTCTCCTGGTTTTTAACTTGGTGCCTTAAGAAGTAGACTAAAGTGGCTCTCTTCTCTGCCTTTTAATTCTGATCTTAAGAGAAAAGACAGCAACCCAAGTTACTTCCTCCAATGATTATAAGCAAAGGGTCATTGACTGAGATGGGTAGCAATAGAAAGTAAGTAAGTAAGTAAGTAAGTAAGTAAGTAAGTAAATAAATAAATAAACAAGCAAGCAAGCGAGCAAGTAAATAAGCAAGCCAACAAGCCAATAATTCAGGGACAATGTACCTTCAGACTTTCAGTCCACAGGGAACTTATCCTGCCCCATATCCTGATTTTTGAAAGAGAGTTTGAAGTCCATACCTGTTCCTATATTTTGGGAGATAGAAGCACAATGAAACAGCATTTGACAGCAGCTTTCACAGCTGCTACAATTTATATGTTTCCCATATCATTATATAAGCTCCTTGAAAAGTTAACAGTGAGACAATGGCTGCTGCTGTCAGCCCTCACAGAGGTGAAGCTATGTCACGTCTGTTCATCTAGAACCTTTCCAGTTCTGTATGAGAGGACATACGTGCTTTCTCATATCATCCATCCATATAGGAACTCCTTCCATGGATTATTATTTTTTTCTCCAGATGTCAGTATGACAAGACATCTTGGCATAAAATAGATTCAAAAACTCCAAGATAAAATGTGAAGCGGGCAGGGGGGAGGGAATCCCAGGTATCTAAAATGCATAATAGAGAAAGAGAAATATTTTTACAGACTAACCCTTCTGAGAATTTGCATGGGTATGTTTTTAGATTTTAATCCCACCTTTATTATTTTTACAAGGCAGTTAAAATACTTAATAATCCTCCTCTTTTCCCCCACAATAAGAACCCTGTGAGATGGATTGGGCTGAGAGAGAGAGTGATTGGCCCAAGGTCACCCAGTTGGCTTTCATGCCTAAAGCAGAACTAGAACTTGCCATCTCCTGGCTTCTAGCCTGATGTCTCAGTCATTACGCTATATCAAATTGGCTCTCAAACTGTATTTTAAAACACAGTTAAAATGAACAGCCTTTTGGGGGGCTGTTACCTGGTTTGATTTCATGCTAAGGACAAATCCGTACAACCTCCACACAAGACCACACCCATTAACCATTTCCCAAACACACAACCACACTCCTCTGCCTATATCTCAGTATCCTTCTGCAGCTGAGGACAGCTGAAGGTTTTACACTCTGCAAGTGGTGTTCTCCCTAATATCTCACATCAAGACGCTAGGAGGAAAGGTAAGGTGTGTTGATGTGCCTCCAGCTCTTGCCTGAAATAACATCTTGTTCTTTTTATATTGTTAGTTGCCCAGAATTATGAATTTGAGATGGGCAGCTATATAAAATAATTATTCTCATTCTCTCTCTCTCTCTCTCTTCCTACCTCTATCCCTCTATTTCTATCCCATCTGTATTATTTTCTGTCAATCAGTACATAGTATGGTGAAATACAGAAACTCTGCTTTTGCAGCCTTACCATCAGAATTAAAATACTGACATTTTGATGCATAACACAATGCAAGCCCTATGCATCTACTCTAAATAGATGTCAGGTCAAGCTGGCCACCAGTCCATCCAGACAGAGTTGCAGCCTTAAATGAACAACATCTCATTTGAGAGGGAAAATGTTTTACTTTCATCGCTGCAGGGTTTTGAGCTGGGTTCTTTCGACAAGATGGATTTTTGTGTTCGGTGTTTCTGTTGTAACCCATTTATCCAGGCTCATTAAAAGAAGGAACAGGCACTCCATTGTTCCGTTATATTTAGTATGGCTTAAAAAGCTTTGTAAGATATTGGCAATTTACAGTAAGTCCTTGGTCTAGGTTGGGCTTTCAGTTAAGATAATAAAAGCATCTGGCACTAGGTTAACTGGGGTGCACCCAGCAGTCCCCCAGTGGAAACATTTTCTGGGAATGAAAACTTTCTGAACTACTTTTCTCCTTGTTACCTAGGGTGCCATCTGTGGCTGTGAGAGAGGCTACACTGAAATCATGAGATCAAATGGTTTCCTGGATTACTGCATGAAGATACCTGGTTTAGCAGATAAGAAAGCCGATGTTAAAACAAATGCTGCCAAGCATAAACCTATCAATTCCAAAATGCATGACATTTTCAAAGGATGGTCAATTCAGCCTTTTAACCCAGGTAAAAATAACAAGTTGTTGGCATGATGTTCTATCTCTCTCTCTCTCTCTCTCTCTCTCTCTTTTTTTTCCTCTCCCTCTCTTAATTTGAAAAGTAAGCTTCATGCTCAGTGAATCACATAACCAGAACTACACTAGAGAATATACAAACTCTCATTTGTAATATAATCATATGAATATCATTAGCATAAAATTGTGCAAGAGCATTATTCTGTAGAATGACCTGGGATTTCAGTTTACAATGCTGAAGCTAATGACATTCCCTTCACTGATTAATCAGAAATATAAATAGGAGAGCTTCTCCTACAAGGAGGAGAGAGAAAAACATAAAGGTTAATGTAAAGCACGAGACTTTCTCCATACCTGTGATCTGTGTTCAAACATAGCCGCCAAACACTGCAATGTTACAGCGCAGTATATAATCCAATCACAAGTTGGAATCCTACAGTTGCAGGATACCTGCTGTTCGGTATATTTTCCATTATTCCATTATTTGGCCTCCTTACTCTTTTTCTCATAAGATGCCACTTCCCTGTTAGCCCTGTAATTTAGCATGATTCTTCAGTTATTTCTGTAAAGATTGGTATGGTTTGTAGATGAGGTTAGCCAGCCCTTCAGGTTTGGAGAGATTTTGCCAGCAAATTCAGGAAGTAATGGTTATAAGGGTTCCTATTTTTAACTGACAGAAAATAAGCAAAATGTACACTGTGCATCAAATGTATTATTTTGTTCCCCTTTCTCAGATGGAAAACTTAAAATCTGGGTATATGGAGTATCAGCTGGCGGGTTTCTCATTATAGTTTTCCTAATCTTCACCTCCTATCTTCTTTGGTATGTATTCTGTGCTTGCTTCTAACCCTGTTAATTCTGTTTCTAGATGTTGGATTTAGATTTAGTCATTTGGAAATAAATTAGAAGGGCTGAAATTCATTGGTACTCAAAGTTGCAAATAGCTTTCAGAGATTAAAATTCAGGGGTTACTTTATATTCTATGTAATTAGAAAGCTAAGTATCACTTGAAAGCTTTTTCAGATGTTCACATTATTTACAGGTTTAGTTTAGTCTATAAAGGATGCTCCAATCCTTTTATTTACAGTAGGTTGTCCCAAGGGTACTTTTTCAAGAGGCAACTGGACTTTCTTGTTTTGAAGACATTTCACTTCTCATCCCAGAAGCTTCTTCAGCTCTGACTGGATGATGGGGAATGGAAGGATTTATACTCCTTGCAGACAGCTGGGCATTTGTAATTTTTTAGCCAGTTGTTTAGGCCACCTGGTGGTTCATTGGTGCAATCAGGATCACCTGAGTTATGCAAATGGATGTGGAGCCTTCTTGGAACTGCTGAAAGGACTGTGTTGTAGACTGGAGATAGATAATGCCGTATCCCTCTCCCTCTGTTGAGAGAGGGCTGTTCCTCTCTAAAAGAATGCAAATGTCCAGCTATCTGCAAGGAGTATAAATCCTTTCATTCCCCACCATCCAGTCAGAGCTGAAGAAGCTTCTTAGATGAGAAGTGACACAACTTCAGAGAAAAACAAGAAAGTCCAGTTGCCTCCTGAAAAAGCACCTTTGGGACAACTATGACCTGGATGACCTGAGAAGCTCCATAGACATTTTATTTAAGTTGATATGTATGCATGTATGCGTATATTCTTTTTACAACCCTTTATTTGGGGTGGAGCCAGGGTGACTGAATGGAACTGAGTATTTTCTGTTCAGATCCCCTTCTTGATGCCTATGTGGAATTTGCAGCAGATATTTTCTTTTTGCGCCCTGTTAGAGAAACATCTACTCCCTAGGATTGAACTCTCAACCTTCCAAGTGGGAGGCAAGCGTCTTCACCTCTATGCCACCATGGCAGTATATACATACAGATAGATATATTCATATTCATTCATGCCCAAGAGAGGATAAGGTGCGCAGATAGAGTTTTATTCAATGATATCAGCATATTAGTTCTTAACTGATAAAAAGTTTTTAATTTTGGCAGTCTTCTTTTGTAGGAACTATTATGAAATGGCTCTGGGCTAATGGGCTTGTGGAAGACCAGAGAATTGGATATTTTGTATTTTACTATAACAAATACCAACATAATGTGGAGCAACGTTTATTTATTTATCAAATTTATGCACCACCCATCTCAATGTCTAAGTGACTCTGGACAAATATTAATAAAATATTATTATTAGTTATTTTCACTATTGCATAGTTAAAACTTTGCTTATTTTAATTTATATTTTAAAACTTGATTTAATTTTAAAAATATTCTTAAACACACATACAGATCTTTTTTTTTTTTAAGATTGCAACCACATTACTGAATTCATCCTTCAGCAGTTTATTTATTTATTTCCCATCTTTATTGTTTTTATAAATAACTCAAGGCGGCGAAGATTTCCAACACATTTTCCTCCACCTGTTTTCTGATTTTACTTTAGTGGATAGGGTTAATTTTTCTGAGGGTACTTTTTTTAAATGGTGGTTCAGGAAGAGATGCTGTTTTAGGGGTTTTTAGACTATTCAAAGGCTAATGACGTTTTATTGCTGTTCTACGTCACCAAAAAACGGTGGGAAAGCATGTCATTTTTAGGGATTTGTCACTGAATATACACAAGTACAGTCAAGGGCTGCAAAAAGAAAGGAAGTAGGCCGGTAGGCCTCGACCACAATTGACCCCCAAACTCCTGTTGCTAAGCAAGACAGTTTTGTCCTACTTTGCTACCGTTCTTGCCTCAGTTGTTAAGTTAGTAAGATGATTGTTAAGTGAATCTGGATTCCCCCATTGACTTGGGTTGACAGAAGTTCTCAAAAGGTGATCAGAAGATCCTAGAACACTGCAACCAATTCAGCAGGTTCTGACCGGTTCTGGAGAACCAGTAACAGCAACTTTTAGTAGTTTGGAGAACCGGCAAATAACACCTCTGACTGGCCTCTCCCGCATCTATTCTCTGCCTCCCGAGTCTCAGCTGATCGGCTGGGTCTTCTTTTGTTGCCCTGCACAGGAGAACAGAGCTGGAAAGCAGGTTAGTGGGGTGGAGAGGGAATGGGGATTTTACAATATCCTTCCCCTTCCATCCTCACCAAGCCACGCCACAGAACCAGTAGTAAAAAAAAAAATTGAATCCCACCACTGACTGCAACCATCATCAATATGAGTTCAGTTGCCAAGCACCTGAATTTTGATCACATGACCAATGTCAGATTTTTTTTTTTTTCATCTTTCAATTTCCAAACCTCAGGGGTGCTCAAAAGTTGTGACACGCTTTGGAGATTGTAAAGATATTTAGATTGCTTTAATATAATTTAATGTGCTTGGTAAGTAGCTTACATAAATGTCGTAACTTTTTAACATTTTGTTTGTTTCATGTCTGCAACAGTCATAAGTGTGAAAAACAGTCCTAAGTATTTTTTTTCCACTAGCATTATAACTTCAGACTGTGACTGAATGGTTATAAGTCAAGGACTACCTGTATGCATTTCTCAAATAGCCCACAATTCTATGGTTTCTGCTTTTTCTACCTATGGCCCATGTGTGTGGAGACGGAAGTTAAAATAACTTCAGTTTAGCCTCCCAGTTTTGAAAAGGGAAACCCTTCAACTTTGGGGTTTAACTTTGCCTGGATTTAAGATGGGGTTTAACTTTCCCTTGATTGTGCCCCAGATGAAGGATTCAGTTCACCTGTTTGGTTTCCTTAAACAAATGAATGTTTTTCTTCCTTTTCAGCAAAAACCCAAAACAGCCACAACATACTCCTCCGCCGCAGAAGTGTCTGACTTTAGCCTACGATGGAGATGTTGATATGTAAGATGGAAACCACCACCCAAATGTAGACATTGACTGCCTTAACCGCTGTCCCCACCCCCCACCCCCGCCTCTTTTGATACAAGATTCCAGCTGATGAGTTTGGGTTTTATTTTTGATCTTTGAGAGAATCTGGCATCCGATATAATTGGGCAGAATATAACTTCCAAACTTGACCAGTTTTACCTTTTAGCATATCTGAAACATGGTATATCTTTATGACTCTTCCCCAGAGGGGACCTCAAGAATTACATCTCTTCCTTTTTAACCATAGGAATAAGGACAAATGAGAAGTTCTACAGTCTTCTACTTATTTTTTTTTTTTAATCTTTTATTTTTGAAAGCATGACAATCCTGTGCGGGGGGAGATAAAATTACATTTACTGTAAAGGACAAACTGGACGCTATGTCATTATGCACTATATTAGTGCAGTTTCTTTCTTCTTCACCACTTTCAGCCATGGGTTTTCTAGAGTTTATATTTGAGTTACATTTGAAACTATTGAAAGATCCAGAGTTCTTTGATTTCCAGACTGACTCAGTTTCTTAGATCACAAAATAATCTGATTTTCCTTCTGCCAAAGGAGATAACAATGAACCAGAAATTTTGCAGCATATAATCCAGGCCATTTTTTTTATTCATGAGAAGGTTTTTCTTTCTTCCTTGTTGGACAAATGTATTAATGACTAATTGGCATTAAGCCATTTAGGTGTATTTTAAATATTGAAAACTTTAATTCAGTCAGTCAAATACATTCTGATTTTGTAATTTAAATTTTATTACCTGCAATTATTTATGATTCTTTTTTTTAAAAAAAGTTCTCTGACTTTATTTATTACACACACAGAAACACACAAACAAGCTGTTTGTACAAGATCTTGCTTTTTAAAAAAGTTTACAAGTCTACATTTGGAACATCTTGAAGAAGATATGTATATGTAGTAGTAAATGTTGCAAGTACGAAAGTGCCATCTTGTGGTATTGACATGTATTTATACATAAATAAAAAAACTAAAGGGTGTGCGAATGTTGATGCAAATACACTGCAATGTCTGTTATTAAAAAAGATTTTGCATTTTCGTCCTTTGAGAGCAAAGTCTAATCAAACTATAATTATGAGCAAACTCTGAGACAGGGAGACTCAGAATGGATTCCTGAAGTAATTACACATTATAAATTCATTAAGGAAATCCCAACATGTTTCCAGCTGAAATTATTGTTCATTAGGCACACGTTGTTTCTGAATAAAACTATATCAGAGCTCCCCAAGCAGTCCATCATTGGACATATCAGCAGTTAAAGTAACCGAATACTGTATAGAAGCAACTAAGGCCAAATTATGGAATGCCCATTTTAAAATCAGCTAAAAATATTTCTGTCAATTTTCCAAATGATTTCAGCCTCAGGAGAAAAGTCTGAAGTTGGAAAAAGAAGAAAATGAAAGATGCAAATAACTGTATAAAGCATTATTTTTCAAAAGGGAAGAGTTAACACTATGGGGATGGAAGGGGTTGCCTTCTATGGGGCTGTTCACAATGGAAAGGGGTGTTAAGGCTATTAGCAACCTGTACCCTGGAAGAATATAATAGTAATTAAAACTCATCCTTCCTTCCACATTTTCAAGTTTAAATCAGATATTGCAGTAATATTTTGATGGGGAGAATGCATAACAAAGTCATAGTTTCTTCAGCTGAAATTTTGGCCCTCCCCAATGTCATCAAACATATAAAAAGTCTTCCCCAGTTGCCATGCATAATAGTCTATTTATTCCATAGAGTCCTTTTTCCCGCTCCCTTACCTGTCATACCATCAATTGGTTACATTTCTTTAAAAAAAATCCTTCTAACTAAGGTTGGCATTTGGCTGCACATTCTGCAGACAATGGCAAATATTTAGTCAATTTTCTTCTGGCTGCCATTGTCTGAACTATACAGGTAAGATGCAGCTACTGAAAAAGTATTGTTGAAGAGCTGGAATTTGAGTTTTTGCTGTGTAGAAACTGAAAAGTACTTGAAGAACATTATGTGAGGAGAGGAGAGGAGATGCCATTCAACTTCCTGCCTAAAGCCTAAACATACAGAATGTGATTTTTTTTTGGTGTCATTCCTAAAACATAGCAGGTAGTTGTGCAACCAATCAAATTTGTATATGAATTTTTTTTTAAAGAGAAACTCCAGACTATAAAAAGAATTGTATGCAGAAAGAGGAAGCGTAAGACAACGTCACATTCACAAATGCCAAGTGAAATTAATAATCCTGGTTGAACAAGATTTTATTTGGCTTTTAGTACATCGTCAGGGTTCATTGCGTAAAGGATGGTTGGAGAGAAATTATCTGAGCCTCCTGTATGTATGTTATCAAGCAGGCCCTCCTTACTTTTTGAACATTATCCTCTGCTTCATAGCATATGGAGAAAGGCAAACTATTTTTTCTTTTCAATCAAGCAGTTCTCTGGATCTCCTCAGTTATAACCAGCTAATCAGAAATAATTTACTGACTCAGTTTCCTTGGGAACTTTAGTGGAATTATAATGATGCAGTCTTTTTGCGCGTGCCTTTGTGTATATGTAGAGATGTTTAGGAAAAGTGAAGAATAGATTCCATTTATTTAGGCCACTCTGTGTAGAATCAATTTACCATATGGTTTGAGGAATGCTATTGTGGCCTGTCAAAACCTAGGATGAATTCTGGAATTCAGCCAGTCTGGGCAATGATGCTGTAATTCCTAAGTATCCTCTTCCTTTTGCAAAGCCAAATCAGCCCCTTGGATTTATTAAAGAGCAGGGAGCAATGTAGCATCTGGGACAACAGCTTAAGTTCAGTGGAGGCAATCTCTAGATAAATCAGACTGACTCATTAGGATCCCCACTCCAGGGCAATGAAGAATGATATTTCTCTGCCACTATTATGTTCACACGGAAGAGATCATATTTTGTTTTTCAAAATGTGGCCTTATTATCCAACTCCAAGGTAACTGATAGTACTTTTCAATATTGTCTGAACAAAATTATGAGCTGAATGATTGAGAACGAACTGAAATTAAATCTATACAACACTGAGGTGCTACCCAAAAATTGGACTCAAAAACTGGGATTCACCCTGTCTTGGATGGAGTTGCAAGATTACCCCAAAGATCAGCTCTTCGGTCTGAGTACATTTCCTGTTTCTTGAGGAACATAGGAATCCCATGTTGTGGCTCTGACAAGAAGAACATCTACACAGTAGCATTTAGTGGATCTATTCCTGTACTAGTCATGGGAGCATGTTTCCATGTCTTGCTTTACTTCAACATGACCTTGAAGATTAATGTGTCCAAGTAGGGTTCCTTCAAACAAATGTCCAGGATTCAACTTCACAGAGCCCTAATTGATAAACTGCTAAGAGCATCTGATGCATGTGTTGAAAGTATCAGTTACCAACCATTTTTCTAGTCAAAAAATAAGGTGTTTCTGTTAATTTTTGAAGCCCTAAAGAGCTTAGTGTCCAAATATTTTAGGAGCTAGCTTTACTATTATTAACCTATTTGAGTTTTCTCTTGTATGATTCCCAAGCTATTCAGTGTTTAGATTTCTATGTTTCAAAAATTAGTGCAAACACACCTCTTGAAAGGTGGGATACAAATCAAACACCCAGGTATGCGTGCAAATACATACACTTTAAACTAATTATTCCTAAACCTACAGTCACATAGCATTACTGTTGTGGATCGAGTAATGAGAGGCTTAGACCAGAGCATAAGTGGAACAAGCTTTATTCAAGGAATAAAGGGTCGTCGCATCTGCTACTAACTGGCAGACCTGGCTAGCGAACGACAACTGGCTCAGCCCGACAGCCGGCTTTTATAGCCGACTGTCAAACGGAGCCAGCCAATGGGAGCTGCTCGTGCTCCCGCTTAAAGAACGGACCTGGTTGGAAACCCCAACCGGTCCCCAAGACATAACACCCCTTCCCCCTAGATGGGAACACGTATAGTCTTTGAGATACGCCGGTGGTCTGTGTTGGTGACCAGAGCGACGTAACTCGGGAGAGTCATTGGGTGATGACAAGTTCATGGAGTCCTGGTCAGAGTACATAGGGTGGCGAGCTTGGCTCGGTGCAGGATCTGGACCCCGGGAAAAGTCTCTGTCTTCGGGCTGGGTTGGAGAATAGTCTTTGCCCGAATGGCAGATGCCATCGCTGGGGGGAAACGGTGGCGTCTCCGGCTGGCAGTCCCGGTCTACTGCCTGCTCCCTCTGCTCCGTTGGAGGCGGCTGGTCTCCCTGGGAGTTCTCGGCTGGACCTGGGTGCTGAACCTGAGGGCTTTCCGGTGGAGACGGATCTGGAGTGGTCAGGCTGCTTCGTCGTCTCCGCAGCTGGTCCAGGTGCCTCCGCCATACACGACCGTCTTCTAGCTGGACCCGATAAGATCTCGGACCTGTGACAGCTACGACCTTCCCCGGCACCCACAGTGGGTCCCCCGCGTAGTTCCTGGCAAACACCAGGTCCTGTAATGCGAAATCCCTGGCCAGACTATCAGACCCCAAAGGGGTGCCCGGGCAGTAGTGGGGGTGTAGCCTGTCTAAAGTGGTCCTCAGGTGTCTCCCCATTAGCAGTTCGGCCGGGGATTTGTTCGTAACCGTGCACGGTGTGGTATGCTGGCTCAGGAGGAAACGAGACAATTTAGAGTGCCAGTCCTCTTGGCCGAACCGGGCCAGAGCCTCCTTAGCTGATCTGACTGCCCTCTCCGCCAGCCCGTTACTAGAAGGGTGAAAGGGGGCCGTGAGGACGTGTCTGATGCCTAGATTGGTGACATACCTGCTAAATTCACTTGAAGTGAACTGGGGGCCGTTGTCGGAGACCAGTGTGTCAGGAAGTCCATGAGTCACGAAAAAACGAGTCAGTGCTTTGGCAACTGCTTGAGTGGTGGTCGTCGGAAGTAATGCTACATCGATCCACTTAGAGTACGAGTCTACGACCACTAAGAAGGTCTTGCCTTGCATTGGCCCGGCTAGGTCGATGTGAAGC